TCTCTCTCTCTCTCTCTCTCTCTCTCTCTCTCTCTCTCTCTCTCTCCCCCCGCCTATATTTTTCCTGTAATTTGGTCTTGAGGCCCCTTTCTGGAGAGTGACTGTAAACTCTGGCCCCGCATCGACAGGGCACCGGGCATGGTGACCATGGTTGTTGACAGTGTCTTCCACATGACAGTTCTTTCTTCTGGTGGATGATGTCATGCCTAAGTGTCTGACAGGGGACCAGGTGTCACTCTTACAGGAAATTTGCAAAGCCTGGTAAACAATACAGGAAATTTGCAAAGCCTGGTAAACAGGCTCCTGTTTGACCTGTGTTCGTTCCTTCCTCACGAGACAGCCAGTGTCCAGGAGAGCCTCGAGTGAGGAGGAGAGTGAGGCTCAGGTGTGTCAGTCAGATAAGACACGGAGACGGGAGACGCTGCGAGAAACACATGAAATACGGCCGAGCACCGTGGCTCACGGCTGTGATCCCAGCGCTTTGGGAGGCTGAGGCGGGAGGATCGCTTGAGCCCAGGAGTTCCAGACCAGCTTGCAAAACATAGCAAGACCACCATCTCTAGAACAAAATTTTGAAAATTAGCTGGTCATGGTGACGCACGCCACTTCCCAGTGACTCAGGAGGCTGAGGTGGGAGATAGCTTGAGCCCCAGTGGCTGAGGCCGCAGTGAGCTATGATTGCACCACTGCACTCCAGCCTGGGTGACAGGGTCAGACACCGTCTCTCAAGGAAATAAAGATCCTAGAGAGAAGAGGGCCAACAGGAAGGTATCGGAGCTCTCTGAGACATACACACGCTCAACCAGCGGGTGGAGAGCAAGGAAAAGAAAGGGACCTGGGAGCCAAAGCTTTTATTGGGGTTCAGGGTGTTACCCGAGCAGGCTTCCCTTCGGAAATTCTCTCAAGCTGTTTCTCATGCGCTCTCTCGTGCGTCCTCTGTCTCGCTCTCTCGCATTCTCTCGTGCGCACGCTCCCTCTCACTCTCTCACACTCTCTCTCGCTCACTCTCTCACACTCTCTCTCGCTCACTCTCTCGTGCACTCTCTCTCGAGCTCTGTAGCTCTCGTCCTCTCTCACACACACACTCTCTTGCTCTCTCTCTCATGCTCTCTCGTGCTCTCTTACTCTCTCCTGCTCTCTCATTCTCTCTCTCGCTGTCTCATGCATTCTCTCTCTCTATATCTCTCCCTCCCCATCCGTCTCTACCCTTCTCTGTTTCGGCTTTTTTTTCTCTCTCTCTCTCTACCCCTCTCCCCTTACTCCTCTCTCCTTCTCTTTAGATCTCTTACGTTCTACCCCCCTCCTTTTTTTTTTTTTTTTTGAGATAGGGTTTCTGTTACCCATACTGGAGTGCAGTGGTGTGATCATAGCTCACTGCAGTCTCATCCTCCCAGGTTCAAGCGATCCTCCAGCCTCAGCCTCCCAAGAGTAGCCAGGACCAGAGGCGTACACCACCACACTTGGCTAACTTTTTATTGTTTGTAGAGATGGGGGTCTGGCCATGTTGTCCAGGCTGGTCTTGAACTCCTGACCTCAGGTGATCCACCCGCCTTGGCCTCCTAAACTGCTGGGATTTCAGGCGTGAGCTACCATGTCCAACCTATCCCTTGATCTCTAACTCTCGATCTCTATATCTGACTTTCTCTATGACCCCCTGTGCCTCAGTTTCCCTAGAACTTCATCCTCTCATCCCTCTAACCCTGTGCCCCAGGACATCAGCAGGACCCCAGGCTATACTGGCAGGGGGGCCCAGCACTGGGCCGCTCCTTCCTGCGTGGACCAGAGCTGGACAAGGGGCAGCTACGTATCCGTCGTGACGGCATCTACATGGTCCACATCCAGGTGACGCTGGCCATCTGCTCCTCCACATCGACCTCCAGACACCACAACCCCACCACCCTGGCCGTGGGAATCTGCTCTCCCGCCTCCCGTAGCATCAGCCTGCTACGTCTCAGCTTCCACCAAGGTTGTACCATTGCCTCCCAGCGCCTGACGCCTCTGGCCCGAGGGGACACACTCTGCACCAACCTTACTGGGACACTTTTGCCTTCCAGAAACACTGATGAGACCTTCTTTGGAGTGCAGTGGGTGCGCCCCTGACCACTGCTTCTGATGAGGGTTTTTTAAATTTTATTTTATTTTATTTAAGTTTGAGAGAAAATGTTTACACACAGGGGCCACCCTAGGTGGGAGTCGGGGTGGGGTGGCGGGTAGGACAAGGGAGGGTATTGAGTTTTTTCTGTCTTTTCATTTTCCTATTAAAAAATGCAAAAATCAGCCAGGCATGGTGGCATGTATCTGTAATCCCAGCTACTCGGCTGACTGAGGCAGGAGAATCGCTTGAACCCTGGAGGTAGAGGTTGCAGTGAGCCAAGATTGTGCCACTGCACTCCAGCCTGGGTGACAGAGCAAGACTCTGTCTCAGAAAAAAAAAAAAAAAATGTTCTTGGTTAGGGATGTTTGAAGAATAGAGGAAGCAGTCTGGGCACAGTGGCTCACACCTGTAATCCCAGCACTTTGGAAGGCTGAGGAAGGTAGATCATTTGAGCCTAGGGGTTCGAGACCAGCCTGGGCAACATGGTGAGACAACCATCCCTACAAAAAATACAAAAATTAACCAGATGTAGTGGTGTGCTAGTCCAAGCTACTCGGGAGGCTGAAATGGGAGGTTGGGTAGAGCCCAGGAGGTCAAAGGCTACAGTGAGCCGTGATCATGCCACTGCACTCCAGCCTGAGCAAAAGAGTAAGATTCCCTGTCAAAAAAAAAAAAAAGTTCTGTTTTCTCCTTAGTGCCTCTATTTAACAAGAGAGGAAACACAGAGATCACTTTGGGTGACTGTCCCTCAAAGCAGACAGTGCAAAACACCTAACAAGTTGGGAGGCCAAAGCGGGCGGATCACTTGAGATCATGAGTTCCAGACCAGCCTGGCCAACATGGTAAAACTCCATCTCTACTAAAAATACAAAAATTAGCCATGCATGGTTGAGGGCACTTGTAATCCCAGCTACTCAGGAGGCTGAGGCAGGAGAATCACTTGAACGCGGGAGGCGGAGGTTGCAGTGAGCCGAGATCGCGCCATTGCACTCCAGCCTGGTGATAGGTGTAGCAAACCACCATGGCACACATTTACCTATGTAATGGAACTGCACATCCTGCACATGTACCCCAGAACTTTAATAATAATAATAATAAAAGATCACTTGAGGTCAGGAGTTCAAGACCAGCCTGGCCAACCTGGCGAAACCTCACCTCTACTGAAAATATAGGGTCTTGCTCTGTCACCCAGGCTACAGTGTGGTGGCATGATCGTGTCTCATTGCAGCCTCAAACTCCTGGGCTCAAGTGATCGTCCTACCTCAGCCTCCCAAATAGCTAGACCGCCAACACAGGGCACCACACCCCGGCTTTTTTTCTTTTTTTTTTTTTTTTTGAAATGAGGTCTCATTACATTGCCCCAGTTGGTCTCAAACTTCAGTCTCCCGAAATGCCCATCTTCCCGCCTCAGCCTTCCCCAGTGCTGGGATTAGAGGCATGAGCCACTGCACTGGACCTCGAATACATTTTGGAACCCAGAATTTTCCAGTATTTAAAGATGGTGTACAGGATTAGACCATCTTTTTTTTATTATTTTATTTTGAGATGGAGTCTCGCTCTGTTGTCCAGGCTGGAGTGCAGTGGTGCAATCTCATCTCACTGCAACCTCCACCCACCCAGGTTCAAGTGATTCTTCTGCCTCAGCCTCTCAAATCTGGGACTACAGCAATCCACCACCATGCCTGGCTAATTTTTCTGTTATTAGTAGAGACGGGGTTTCATCATGTTGGCCAGGATGGTCTCGATCTCTTGACCTCGTGATCCACCTGCCTCGGCCTCCCAAAGTGCTGGGATTACAGGCGTGAACTACTGCGCCCGGCGTTTATACCATCTTTTATGCATCACCTCAGCGAGGTTGGGGCAGCATTTTGTAATCAAACATCATACCTATTTTTTTTTTTTTTTTTTTAACAATGAGAAGTGTTAACATTCACACTAAGTGGGATACAAATCAAGACTACAGGCCAGGCGCGGTGGCTTATGCCTGTAGTCCCAGCACTTTGGGAGGCCGAGGTGGGCGGATCACCTGAGGTCAGGAGTTCGAGACCAGCCTGGTCACCATGGGAAAACCCCGTCTCTACTAAAAATACAAAACTTAGCCGGACATGGTGGCCGACACCTGTAACCCCAGCTACTCGGGAGGCTGAGGCAGGAGGATCACTTAAACCCAGGAGGTGGAGGTTGCAGTGAGCCAAGACCGTGCCATTACACTCCAGCCCAGGTGACAAGAGCGAAACTCCATCTCAAAAAAAAAAAAAAATCAAGACTACAATTACCAGCCTGGCTAATATGGTGAAACCTCATCTCTACTAAACATATAAAAATTAGCTGGATGTGGTGATGGGCACCTGTAATCCCTGCTACTAGGGAGGTTGAGACAGGAGAATCTCTGGAACCCAGGAGGAGGAGGTTGCAGTGAGCTGAGATAGTGCCACTGCACTCCAGCCTGGGTAACAGAGTAAGACTCTGTCTTTAAAAAAAAAAAAAAAAAAAAAAAAAAGACTACAATTAACAAAAAGTTAGTTCAGGTCAGAAATTGCCGCCAAACAATTTACCAAAACGACTTGATTTCCAGGGCTTTTTGGATTTTGGAATTGGGGACTCAAAGTAAAGTCAAATGCTCCTGACGGCATTTAATATGGACTGCACACCGCTTTAACACATTAACTCAGCTCGTGGTCATGCAAGACCTACAAAGCTGGAGGAATCGTCATCATCCCATTTCACAGATGAGAAAAACAGAGGCGCAAAACTTTAAGTCATCTGCCCAAAGTTACTGGTTTTGTAACTGCTGGGGCCTTTGTATTATAACAGTTAAGGAAAAGAGTGGTAGAAAACCTGAATCACAAGCCCAAGGCAATTTCATCGACATAGGAGTGGACTCAGGATTCCAACCCAGACAATCCCGCATCTTGCATCCTTGCTCTCACCTCTAGAGGGTGAAGTGAGAGGAGCGGTGTGGGGTGTCCCAGCTGAGGGAGGGGAAGTGAGACCCACGCACCGCCCTCCCCCACCAATCTGGCCCTACAGCCCCTCTCCAACCTTACTTGGACTCAGGACCACGCATCTGGAAAAGCCACAGACACTCGACGCCAGCTTGTGAAAGTAACCGGGAGGGAGGCTGTACCCTGCAAAGCCACAGGGAAGGGGCCGCCCAAGACCATGAGAACCCACCACTTACATCAGCGTGACCTGGATGTGAGACACAGAGTCAAAGGAGATTATCTGGCAGCTTTAAGATTTGACTGCCTGACTATTCACAATAGCAAAGACTTGGAACCAACTCAAATGTCCATCGATGACAGACTAGATTAAGAAAATGTGGCACATATACACCATGGAATACTATGCAGCCATAAAAAAGGATGAGTTCATGTCCTTTGTAGGGACATGGATGAAGCTGGAAACCATCATTCTGAGCAAACTATCTCAAGGACAGAAAACCTAACACTCATAGGTAAGAATTGAACAATGAGAATACTTGGACATAGGGTGGGGAACATCACACACCGGGGCCTGTCGTGGAGTGTGGAGTGGGGGGAGGGGGGAGGGATAGCATCAGGAGAAACACCTAATGTAAATGACGAGTTAATGGGTGCGGTCAACCAACACAGCACATGTATATATATGTAACAAACCTGCACGTTGTGCACATGTACCCTAGGACTTACAGTATAATTTTAAAAAAAGGATTTGACTGCCTGGCCAGGCACAGTGGCTCACGCTTGTAATCCTCACTTTGGGAGGCCGAGACGGGCAGATTGCCTGAGGTCAAGAGTTCAAGACCAGCCTGGGCAATATGGTGAAACCCTGTTTCTACTAAAATACAAAAAAAAAAAAAAAATAGCCAGGCATGGTGGCATGTGCCTGTAGTCCCCATGGCTGATGCAGGAGAATCGCTTTAACCCAGGAGGCAGAGGTTGCAGTGAGCCAAGATCGAGTCACTGTACTCCAGCCTGGGTGACAGAGAGACACTCTATCTCTAAAAAAAAAAAAAAGATTTGACTGCCCCACTGGATTCTGGAATTGCAGGGGGCCTTCAGCCCCTTTGTTTTGGCCAATTTCTCCCATTTGGAATGGGTATATCCAATGCCTGTACCCCACTGTGTATAAGAAATAACTAACTTGCTTTTGATTTAAAGACTCACACATGGAAGGGACTTGCCTTGTCTCAGATGAGATTTTGGACTGTGGACTTTTGAGTTAATGCTGAAACGAGTTAAGACTTTGGGGGATGGTTGGGAAGACATGATTAGTTTGAGGACATTATGCTCAATGAAATAAGTCAGTCAAAAAGGAAAAATATGTATTGTATAAACTAGCTTACAGTAATCTACCAATAGGAGTAAAACTGTTCACAGGAATATAAAATAGAATTTTTTAGATGTGCAGTCTTTGAGGGTTTCTTTGTGTTTCTACCCATCAAGAATTTTCCTTCAGGTGCTTCACAGTTATTTGAATCAGTTCTATTTTCTTTTTTCTTTGTTTGTTTGTTTTGATTTTTTGTTTGTTTGTTTGTTTTTTGAGATGGAGTTTCGCTCTTGTCACCCAGGCTGGAATGCAGTGGTGCGGTCTCAGCTCACTGCAACCTCTGCCTCCCGGGTTCAAGTGATTCTCCTGGCTTAGCCTCTTGAGTAGCTGGGATTACAGGTGCCCACCACCATACCTGCCTGTAATCCCAGCTACTGAGGCAGGAGAATCGCTTGAACCTGGGAAGCGGAGGTTGCAGTGAGCCAAGATCAAGCCTCTGCACTCCAGCTTGGGCAACAGAGCAAGACTCCATTTCCAAAAAATAAAAAAGAAGAAAAAGAAATTCAGTGTCCATTAACAGGAAGGCTGAGGCAGGAGGCTTGAATCCAGGAGTCTGCAGTGAGCTATATGTTCATGCTGCACTCCAGCCAGGGTGACAAAGGAATACAAAGAAAGAAAAGAGAGAAAGAGAGAGAGAGAAGGAGGGAGGGGGGGACGAAGGAAGGAAGGAAGATTATTTAATGTTATATGATTTTCACCTCAATTTTTGAAAAAAGAGTGTATACACAGGGTTTTATAGAAAATAAAATGCAAGGCCAGTCACAGTGTCTCACACCTGTAATCCCAACATTTTGGGAGGCCGAAGCGGGTGAATCACCTGAGGTCAGGAGTTGGAGACCAGCCTGGCCAACACGGTGAAACGCCGTCTCTA